ATGTTCTAAAAGATAAAGTACCAGTAATTATTAACTTGATTCAAAATCAAGGTTGTCGATAAAAGTTCAATCAACCTATTAGTGTTCAAATTCAAAGAAATTATATGTTGTATAAATAATTTGATGTTCTGACGGGGACACCATAAGCCAATTTGAATGTCTGGCATGGATACTAGAGGTAAATTCAATGTTCTGGCAAGGACACTACAAGTAAACTTGATTTTTACTTGGGACATCATTGAACAGTAAATGACAAATGACAAGCTGTTATTTTTATAACTGTTTTTTTTATATCAGTCATAATAAAATCTCTTTATTGCGACTTTCGTTGGGTTCTGAGTACACAGCTGCTTGAGAAATTTCTCAAAACTTAACAAAAACTGTTGAGACAATAAGAAACACACACACACAGACAAGCATCAGAAACTAAAAAGTTCATTAGTAAAAATAAAATTATAATGTAAATAAATGTTGAAATCAAAGCAAACTAGTGCCTGATAGGACTGAAAAGTGAGGACTCCTGAGTTAATTGGTAAATTGAAACAAATCAAAGATATTTTTTGAGAAATAACAGTAAAGTACAATAGATTCTTGTTTTGTTTATATTGCTTCATTTATATGTGATTTTAATTTTTCTAATTTTTATGCTGATTTGTGACTTGAAGAAAAGACTACAGAACATAGTACACATGTTGAACAGGATCCAAAACAGAGTAGATGTAAAATATAAAATAAAATTCTTGTTTGATCAACACACAATAATATATATATATATGCTATATGATATTTATATATATATATATATATTTATAAAGAATTCTAATGATGTTCTATTATTTGGCACCATATGGTGAACAAGAATACATATGTAAGCAATCATTTAACTAACTGGACGGTTTGATTTGTGTATGAAGGCACACATTGAGTTGTAATTACTATGTTATGTAAAAAAAATCTTGTATTCTACCGGTATATGTACACAAATCTGCTGCTACAAACCCAGCACTTTTCTCATTGTCCAGAATAAGCTACCCATCAATTTATGATGTGATGTCATTGGCAACATCTTTACTGAGCAGAGTGCAAATGATGTCATCACATTCACAGAACAATGTAGTGATGTCATTGGCATTGCTTTCACAGAGCAGAGTGCAGTGATGTCATTGGCGTCAACTTTACTGAGCAGAGTGCAGTGCAGTGACCTCATTGGCATTGCTTTCACAGAGCAGAGTGCAGTGATGTCATTGGCATTGCATTCACAGAGCAGAGTGCAGTGATGTCATTGGCATTGCATTCACAGAGCAGAGTGCAGTGATGTCATTGGCATTGCATTCACAGAGCAGAGTGCAGTGATGTCATTGGCATCACATTCACAAAGCAGAGTGCAGTGATGTCATTGGCGTCAATTTTACTGAGCAGAGTGCAGTGCAGTGACGTCATTGGCATTGCATTCACAGAGCAGAGTGCAGTGATGTCATTAGCATTGCATTCACAGAGCAGAGTGCAGTGATGTTATTGACATTGCATTCACAGAGCAGAGTGCAGTGATGTCATTGGCATTGCATTCTCAGAGCAGAGTGCAGTGATGTCATTGGCAACATCTTTACTGAGCAGAGTGCAAATGATGTCATCACATTCACAGAACAATGTAGTGATGTCATTGGCATTGCTTTCACAGAGCAGAGTGCAGTGATGTCATCAACTTTACTGAGCAGAGTGCAGTGATGTCATTGGCATTGCATTCACAGAGCAGAGTGCGGTGATGTCATCAACTTTACTGAGCAGAGTGCAGTGATGTCATTGGCATCACATTCACAGAGTAGAATGCACTGATGTCATCAACTTTACTGAGCAGAGTGCAGTGGTGTCTTTGTTATCACATTCACTAAGCAAATCAGAGAGAAGTCAATGCCATCACTTTTATGGAGCAGAATGAAGAGATATTATTGGCAATGCCTTGACAAAGTAGAGTGAAGGGATGTCATCACTTTTACTGGGCGGAGTATTACATCCACAGAGGAGAAGGGAAAGCCACAGTCATCAATTTTACAAAGTGGTGAGCTAAATGTCATTGACGTCACCCCTTCACAGAAAAGAGAGGGTAATGTCATTGGCATCAATTTTACAGAGCACGGGGGAGTGGGGGGATGTCATTGAATACGAAGGACAACCTGACAGACAATGATTCAATGTCACTCTGCAATTTGATCATTTAAGTTGTCTTCAATTTTTGGACAAATGAGTAAAAATATTGAAATTAAGAAATACTGGTATATAACAAGACAGTACTGATAAAAGAGCATAAACATACAGGGTTAAACACTAGCGAACACATTGTCAGAATGCAGGGAGAAAGAAAGATAGTAAACACATGGAATTATCCAAATCTAGACACTCATGTTATGATATTATTCATTTATAGTATATAAATGAATCGCATTAAATGTCATTTAACCCTTTGAGCGCCAAGAAGTCAACTTTTGTTATTATTCACAAAATAGTTCTATATGTGCATATTAATTAGGTAATTTGCATATCATTAACATTTTGAGTGCCAAGTAGTCAACTTTTGTATATAAAACCCACATAATTTTTCATTTTTGTACCACAATTTTTATCAAGACTGGTAGCCAATGGACAGTGGGGTCCATTTATTCTAAAATTTTCCAAATTTAAAAAAAAAAATACAAAATGGCAAATTGTTGGAAGAACATTTTGACAGGAAAAATTATGGCGCTCAAAAGGTTAATAACAGAAACTGTACCATCTGTAACACTCCAAATTCTGAGTTTGTTCATTTGTAATACATTCTGAAGAGTTGAATGCTGAATAGAAATAATGATATAATCTAATAAGATGGGAGAGATGTATAACATATAATGTAATATAGTACGTTATTATTGTGAATATAAAAAAAAAAGCTATAATTTTCGACTTTTCCACCCCTTTCTATACTACCGGTAACTTATTTATTCGTGATTGTCAGATCATTATGCAAATAATCTCATTAATTATGCATTAATTCACTTCCAAAATGATGTATGTTGCATTGTGGGAAAGCCGTATATAGTATTTGCTATGTATGCATGTATGTAAGTAGCGTCTATAAGTTGTTACATGTAGCTTTAAAGATGCAATATGGACTGAAAATGTAATTTTTAGTATTATTGTTTGAAATTACATATTGATGAATACATTAGATTATGATTAATCATGAATTGAAAAAAATGTTTTTGTAGCTCACAGCTGAGTATTTGTTTGATAAACCAATGATATCTTTGTAATTTGCATATGCATTGGTTGTTTTGATAAATACAATAACAACCACTGCACATGCCTATTTGTGTTTTTGATTTTTCATCTAACAAATACTTTTGCATGTTCTACAAATGCAACATTTTTAGTTCATGACAAATAACAATCTGATTCGATTTACAGTATGGAGTATCAAAATATATATTAAAAAAAAAATGTTTTCTTCTACTTATATAGCATCTTTAATTTTCTAATGTACGATGAGAAATGATTGGAACAGGATCTTTAGTATACAACACAATAGAAAGCTGTGTAATAAACAGGATAACTCTTTGAATGCTAATTTCACTTTTTGCAATATAAACCTGCATAATATTTTTCTATTTATATTCAAAAATGTTGATAAAAATCTGTAACTAATTAGAAATATGTCTAATTGGTCCAAAATTAAAAAAAAAATAAT